TCACTCGTACGCACAACTTAAGAACAAATCTGTGCGTACAAACGGTTCTTACATGAGGCCCATTGAATCTGTATGTGCATAATTTGAAATTGAATGCACTATTTGAAAATAAATGTCACTAAATTGAAACTAAATTTAATGATTTGAATTTGAATTAATTTGCTTTGATACTATATTTTAGTTTATTTAAAATTCAGTTTGACTACTTTCACTTTCAGTTCCATAATTCAATTTCAGTTCCAAAATYCAGATTTTTGTGTCACGCATCCTGGTCCTTCAGAAAGTCAGCCTGAGTAATCAAACACAGATACACTGATTTGTTTCACTTCAGTAAAGTTTCCCTTCTGTATGTAACAGAGTTGATGCAATCCTCCATAAAAGTGACAAAAAGAGAGTTATTTTATTGCAGTAATTAATTTTACCTATGAAAATGTTAYATTTACATCACATCATGGATGTGATGYGTCTCACGTGTGCTCAGTTCCACGTTCATTGGGATRTATAAAGGAAAGGTGCGCATAAACAYGTGTGCRCACTGTTTTATACATCTGAATTTCTTTGTGCACTTTACTAAATTTGAACCTRTGCCAACTTTTAGTGTGAAAGCTGCACACTCCTTTATGTATGAGGGCCCTGGAGGTTTGGTTGCCACAAGACCTGGGCACCTTACAGTCTGACCATGAAGTCCTCTGAGTCAAAYGTGAGGCTGTCTGTCCAACAGAAGCAAATCTACAACTGAATGGCTGAGAAAATTTTAAAAATCAGACTGAAATGCTTTTGTGGAACTTTAAGAAAAGTGTACAGAAATAAACATCTGCAAACTTCACTGAACTGAGGCAATGCTCCACAGAAGAGTGGGCCAGAATTCTCCTCAGACCAAATCAGAAAGCTGGAAGAATTTCAGCTTCTTTGATGGTCTATTCATGTCAGATATGCAGGAGAAAAGCAGGGCCTTTCCAAGTGGCGGCTTTGTGTCTTTGTGTGTGTCCACAGACTTGCTATGAAACTGATCTGATCCCTTCGACTAAAAAGGACGCTCCTTTTTTTAGACATTCAAGTTCTACTCCCCCTGTGGCGAGTCTCTGCAGAAGAATCTAACATGGAGAGCTCCAAGTCAGGGGTCAAATATAAGAACGTGTGCTGATTGTTGGCAACATCTCTGCTCCAGCTGAGCAAAAGTTTGATTAAAACCTAAAAATATGAACCTGAAGGGGTGTAAAGTAGTCTCTGGCTTTTTACTGAACATTTGAGTCAGCTATATTAGAACAAGATTTAAACTGTCCTGAAGTTGGAGCTAGTTCATATTCTTCTCATGAGTTTTTCTTGACATCAGTATGGAGATAAATTAGTCTCAAAAGAATTCAAACTAGTGAGTGACAAGATTTGCATGCACATGAGCTCTCAGTTTATCCTTGTCTGTGATTTTGACTTTTGAGATTTTCTCACTGCTGCAGAGTCACATGTGAAACGCTGCGTTCAAGGCTGGTGAAAAGCTGGGACAGCAGAGCTTCATCACATTTACTGGTTTAATGGGAAAATACATAGTTGAATTATAAACCCTATATTAAAACACATATACAGTGACATTACTGGGTTCCAAAAAAATGACATTTTGTGGCCTGTATGGCTGAAATAAACAACATAAAATCAGTAGGTTCAAAATTTATTAAAATAAATTAATATAAAATCTCAATTGTAATGAAGTTATGACAATGTATGAAACATTACTAAAAACAGAATGATTTGCTAAACCTTTTCAAACTATATTTAATCGAATACACTACAAAGACCAGTTATTTAATGTTCAAACTAATAAACTTTTATTGTTTTTTTGTAAATATTCTCTCATTTTGAATTTGATGCTGCAAAACATTCTAAAAAAAGCTGGGACAAAAGACTAGGGACGTTAAGGAATACCCAAAAAACACGTCGATGAATCATTCCACAGGTGAACAGGTTCATTGGAAACAGGTGAGTGTCATGTTTGGGTATAAAGGGAGCATCCCCGAAAGGCTTACTTGTTCACAAGCATTAATGGGGTGAGGTTCACTTCTTTGTGAACAACTGTGTGAATGTATATTTGCAAAAAAATAAAACAAAACAAAAGAAAACCAAATAGAGTTTATCCGTTTGAACATTAAATATCTTGTCTTTATAGTGTATTTGGTTAAATATAGGTTGAAAAGGATTTGCAAATCATTGTATTATGTTTTTTATCTATGTTTGACACGACGTCCCAACTTCATTAGAAATTGGAGTTAGTTTTTACACAAAAACAATCTTCTTTTGGAAAAACTACTAGAAACATAATTTCATGTTTTTGCATGAATTGTACATTTGAAATGAACTATGTAAAATGATGTTTTTCTGATGGTTGTTTGTGCGCTCAAATCTTTTGAGACTAATTTGCCTCCATAAATTTGACACTGATGCTTACTGACCTGGCTGGTAGAAGGAAGGAGAGAGCTCTTTGGCCACCAGTCTGGCAATACTGGACTCACTGTTGGAGGCCTGAGCTGCTTGATCCGCTCCTTCTGACTTGGCCTTTGCGTGGGCTGACCTGCAGGTGAGAGGTGTGACACAAATCAGCAACAGTCACTCATGTTTTCTTTTACCAGACTGATATTTAGATGAACTAATATAAAGTTTCTAAAGACTAGTGGATCTCAAACTTGCAAAAAAATGCAAACATAAATCAATCTGTTTTTCAATCTTTGAATGATGAGAAATGATGGAGTTGTAGCTGTTTAGGTCTGTCTTGGTCTGTCAATTGCAATAAATCCTGTTGACCATTCACGGAGTACTTTTTATTTTTGGATCACGTGTTTCTGTTTTGGTCAAACAAAGATTTCCACGACAGGCCAAACTTTGAAAATAACATTATTGCTGTTCTCACACAATATTGTGAGACGTCACACTCAGAGGATGTGTTCTGCTTAATTCTCAGAGGTACTGCTTATACTTAAAATAAAGTAAAAGCAATACCTGAACAGAAAAGCGCTTTGGTAAAAATTTATTTCTCTACAATAAAAGGACTGAAGTAAAAGTCATAAAATGGCTCACAATAACTGGGAAAGTAAAAGTATTTTTAYACACACTCTAAGAAATAGTGTTGAACTTACTGAACCAAACTGGTTCCATTAAATCAGGTTGAGTGAATTTCTTTATATTTACTAAACTAGGTTTAGTGGAACCAGTTGACATAATTTGGTTCAGTAAATTCAACACTTCATTTTATAGAGTTCATATCAATGAGTTCTGTCATATTTAATATTGTAACGTGTAACTACAGGGGTTAGACAATGAAACTGAAACACCTGGTTTTAGACCATAACATCCCTTTCAGACAGCTTCCTCTTGCGTCCACAGTTAATCCTGTTGGATGTGGTTGGTCCTTCTTGGTGGTATGCTGACATCACCCTGGATACCGTGGCTCTTGATACATCACAAAGACTTGATGTCTTGGTCACAGATGCACCAGCAAGACGTGCAACAACAATTTGTCCTCTTTTGAACTCTGGTATGTCACCCATAATGTTGTGTGCATCTCAATATTTTGAGCCAAATTGTGCTCTTACCATGCTAATTGAACCTTCACACTCTGCTCTTACTGGTGCAATGTGCAATTAATGAAGACTGGCCACCAGGCTGGTCCAATTTAGCCATGAAACCTCCCACACTAAAATGACAGGTGTTTCAGTTTCATTGTCTAACCCCTGTAGGTGTTAAAATTTAAAGAAAATAAATAAAAGTATAATTTTTATGTATTGAATGTAACAAAAGAAAAGCAAAAGTTACAATTAAAACATACTCGTTAAAATCATACATCCTCAAAAAATAACTTACCAAATACTGCAAGTACTTGTTACAATAGACAAACAAACATCATAGCTTTCACCCAGACTTAGTGATAATAAACACCAGTTAACCTTTCATCTGTGATTTTAGTCTGCAGCAGGAAACCAAAGTAGAAAACCCACACATGCTGGATGACAAAAAACACGCATCAGAAAGGCCTCAGCTGGGAGTCAAACCTGCAACCTTACTGCAGCCAAGCGGCAGTTTGAACCAACCACACCACCGTGTTTCATGTTGGAACTTTGAGTCAAAGTTCCGACATGAAAAAAGGAATAAAAACTGTTTTTGTGCTCTCTTTAGCTGTCTGAAATGCTTACAGTAGGTCAAATACCAACTTTCCTTGTATGTCAGAAACAAACACTCATCTGGAATCAAAGGTCAGCTGCATTATGATCTGACATATAACATTTCACTGAGCGTGTAATTCAGGTTCAACAACGGAGCAGCTTTTACATCTGAGACCCTGCAACCTCATACACAGATGTTGCAGTTTTGCCTCTCTGCCCATGTGTATCAATTTTTTTAACTTTAACTCACAGGCCTCATTAATAGCCACTAACAACACATTCTACTGGTCCCATGACAATATTACACTCATTTGGGTGAAAACAAGATGGCGGGATCCCAGTAAAAAGCTTCTACAACAACTCTCATAAGAAAAATGGCCAAAGTATAATCCAAATTACACTTCATTTTTGAAACCAGTGTATTTATGCACAGTTACATCTTTAAGCCATGCAAATTAGACAATTTTATTACAACTGAAGCTAAGTACAATGTCAGTAAAGATAAAGTCCTCATTTGAGGACATTGGGACTATAATTTCATTATTAATTGTGTCATGAGGTTGGATAAACCTGTGAATATTTAGAAGAGTTCACAAATGTAAATAGATAGTGAAAGTGGTATATGTGGTCACAATTTTTATTGAACAAATCTGGAAATATTTAGAACAGTTCACAAGCATAAATAGTTCTTGCAAGTGATACATCTGTTCAACCAATTTATTATACCAAGGATGTTCTGGTTCAATGGTCTGTGATTTCCTGCCATTATGTATGGGATAAATCTTGTGACAGCAGGAACTGAATTTGAATTCCTCCGATTGAATCTGAATGTGCCTAATTTGAAATTGAATGCATTGGTTTGAAAATATATTTCACTAAATTGAAACTGAATTTAATGATTTGAATTTGAATTAATTTGCTTTGAAACTGTATGTTGGTTTATTAAAAATTCAGTTTGACTACTTTCACTTTCAGTTCCATAATTCAATTTCAGTTCCAAAATTCAGATATTTGTGTCACACATCCTGGTCCTTGAGAAAGCCAGCCAGAGTAATCAAACACAGATCCACAGATTTATGTTTCGCTTTGGTGACGTTTCCCTTCTGTATGTAACAGAGTTGATGCAATCCACTATAAAAGTGACAAAAACAGACAGTTATTTTATTGCAGTGATTAATTTTACCTATATGTAGAAAATGTTACATTTACATCCAGTCATCGATTAGTGAGCAGCAGCATCTGATCAATATGTGATCCATGATGTGATGTAATTTAAATAATTAACAGGAGTGGATAGGAGTGGTTTAATGGATAAAAATAACTGAGTATCATCAGCATAACAATGGAAATTTATCCCATGCTTTTTAATAACTTTACCTAATGGAATCATATACTGTATAAAGTAAAGAGGATTGGTCCATGAACTGAACCCTGAGGAACTCCATGACTAACTCTGGTGTAAGAAGAAGATTCATTATTAACATTAACAAACTGAAATCTATCAGTTAAATAAGACTCAAACCATTTTAGAGCTGGTCTTGTAATCCCAATATCAAGTTCAAGTCTACGTAATAAAATATTGTGATCAATTGTATCAAATGCAGCACTGAGATCTAACAGGACAAGAATGGACACAAGTCCACTGTCTGAGGCCATGAGAATATCATTAGTAACTTTCACCAGTGCTGTTTCTGCAATGCATTCCAGAGCATTCAATTTCAAATTATGCACATACAGATTCAATTCAAATTCAATTTCTGCTGGCACAAGATTTATCCCATAATTATGTCACATAATATTTACTTCAAACTGAGAAGCAATCTGAAAGTTGTCATTGATGATGATGATGATGCACTTCACTGATCTTGCTCTGGTCTACAGCTGGCTGCTGTATTGCCAAAATAACTAGGAAAATGGCTATCATAAAGTTTCTCAAGTTTTGTATGGGAATTGCTAAGGTATTCCTCAAAGAGCAAGACTATTTGAGACCCGGTGTCCTCATATGAGGACATCATTTTTTTTTTCTAAAATCACTTCCTGTACCACGACAGAATCTAGTTATTATACAGTACCTATTAGGTTCTAATAATCCCATTTATTTTGGAGAAAGAAAAAATGCACATCAAACAAAAGCTTGGGTCACAGGAGGATACTGAACATAGAATTAGGACAACTCTGTCATGAGGTGTCCACAGAAGTTGTCCGAACAATCTTTTTTTTTTAGATTAGTGAATGAGTTTAGGTTTCTTGATGACAAATCTAATAAATGACTTGTTAAAGTGATTCAAGCTGCAAGGTACTGAAATGTTATCAGCATAAAATCCTGACTGCAGAAGCTTTAAGATTCCTGAGGGCTAGGATTTTTATTTTTCCRTTATTTAACTAATGCCACTGAGATCACAGATCTCTTTTGCAAGGGAGGCCTGGGCCTGAATGCAACATATTGTACATGTTTTTGTGTTGTGGGGAAAACTGAAGTACCCAGAGAAAAACCACGCAAGGACAAGGAGAACATGCAAACTTCACACAGAAAAATCCCAGGATCGAACTGGGAATTAAACCCTCTTGCTGTGAGGCGTTGGTGCTAACCACTGATCCATCGTGCTGCTTATCTCAGTCTTACTCAGTAAATCTTTCACAGGATGTAGAAATCATGGTGTGTTTATTAATATTCAAATAATCACATTAAAGGTGTGATCAAACCCTCAGTCTTTCATAAAAGCAGCTTGAGATGAACAGTTTCTGTGAAGGTGTTCACATTTATTTATACTTCAGTCAGACCAAGTTACAACTGTGAGTGAGTATGTACATWACTGAACGTTCTATAGAATTACATCTGTCCATAAATGATCAGTAACCAGGAGGCAGCATTAGACTGACTGTGTCCTTCAACAGATATTTAATTACAGGAATAATTTTAAAAAGAAGTTCAGAAAACTATAAGGTAAATAATGTAAGTGTCGTGCTCAAGGACACTTCATCATTGAGCATCAAACCCTTCATCTTTAAAGGGGAGGAGACAATCTAACCACTGAACTACTGGGACACCAGTCACTTCATACAGAGCTGTGAAAACCTGAGTAAATAACATCTAGTTTATAAATGACACAAACCAACCTGACTTATGTAAAAAGTAATCACCCTCTTTGTTAAATCAGAAGTCAACTGTGATTATTTTGACTGAGTCTCACTCAGATCTGCAGAATCAAGAAATCACTTAAACTGAACCCATATCCAAGTGGAGAAAACACGGATCAGAGATGAACCTTCCCAATTGACCAAAATTACTCCAAGATGCATGAACAACTCCTCCAGGAGGTCCCAAAAGAACTCAGAACAACATCTAAAGTCCTGCAGTTAAGGTTAAAGTGTATCTTACCCCCCCTGTGAAAAGATAACTCCGCCCCAAGGCGAA